TATGCATTTGATTCTGGGGTATCAGTGGTTATAGACACAAAATACTGTATAAGAGCTCTGAGACTAACATCTTTTATGCTAGTCTCGGGAGAGGTGAAACAACTTTTTATCCTGATCAATGATGAATGAGTCGCAAGAAAAGTGTTTCCTCAGTACATACGGTATGTTGTCATGTATGTCTCATATCAGACAAAGGTTTATAAATATTGAAGTCACTAATATAAGTAAATACTCCTATTGTGATGTCATTATGATAAATGATTTACAACTTTTGGTTTTTTTAAAGTTACACTAAACTGTTTTACTCATTGTAGACATTGGTATGATTTAGAAATAATTATATTCATTTATTCCGATTGGCTGGATCTACTTTTTCAAAGCTATTTAAAAAAGTACCCAAAATAAATTATTTTTCGGTGAAACATATAAGTTGTTCTTTATTATTTGAAAGTTTCACGTTCATTAAAAAATAGCAGGGCGTTCAAAACTTTTGGGCCCCCGTATATCAATTTTGTGAAGACTAATTATACCACATTCGGAATCCATCGAGCTGTATTTGCAACGGATAATTTTACACAAGAATTATTTTTTGTAAAGTGCAATCGATTAAAAATATTTATTTTGTTATTGAAATGCGTACGAATGTGAAACTAATGCATATTTCTACTTTGGTTCAGTCTTCAAATTCTGAAATCACGAAACGTCCATATATGGCAAAAATATCAATATTGCACTCCAGCAGCCAACCATCCTTGATAACTTGGCACATGGTACGGCATAGTCACATGACTTAAAAAAAGTCTGTGAAAATAACAATTCAGAGGTTGACAGTTTTGTCTTAATCAATTGTGTTTTGTGGGGAAATAATAGTCAAAATAACTAAAGAGATAAATATTTGTGTTAAGTACAAGCTAATACGACTTTTTGACAATGGTTTTAGTACAACTTTAAATCTATAAACAAAAGTTATTGATAAAGGTTATTATTGTATGATCTGTAAAATGGAGCCCTCTGATTGATCGGTTCTTGTGCTGTACAATATCTGTATTGCTACAGAAATTGTCCCCATTTATCATCTCCATAGCAATACAGAAAATATTGGTACGGAAGCGGGGACAATCTCAGTAGCAATTTAGAGAGTACAGAATAATTCTTAGGGGTTATCTCCTGAGTAAATGTGTTTGCCTAAGATCACATAATAAAAACGTCATTAAATGATTTGAAGTGCGATACAAGATATATTCTGTCTCGACATTGTGGCCTGAGTTACAGAAATTATCAGCAGTTCGGCATAATCGTAAATGACACAATATTGGCGAATTTCTACCATTGTATACATTCTTATTGATTTCTTAACTTAAGTAGTATTTTGACCCTATGAAAAAAGTTGATATCAATGCAAAGCTTTGACAACTGTCTATGATGTTTAATATACGTAGGATTAGTGTTAAGACAGGTACCGTTGCCATGGAAACGGGCGTTGAGCAATAGGTATCCTTAATAAGATTGAAATACGTATAGGAATGGGCATTTCCAGCCAGTGATCCAAATATATATATTTTATTAATAGCAATTGTGTGGAAATGACCAATTTTTATCAATCTTGAACAATAATGCCTAAATGATTCCATATATTAAATTTTAAAGTGTTATTGTGACATCACAATAGCGGATTTCAAATGAGAAACAGTTTGTTTTACATGGTCTCCGTGAAATTGATATCTTCCATAATTACAATTAGACTAAACTGTGTTATGCATTTGATTCTGGGGTATCAGTGGTTATAGACACAAAATACTGTATAAGAGCTCTGAGACTAACATCTTTTATGCTAGTCTCGGGAGAGGTGAAACAACTTTTTATCCTGATCAATGATGAATGAGTCGAAAGAAAAGCGTTTCCTCAGTACATACGGTATGTTGTCATGTATATGTCTCATATCAGACAAAGGTTTATAAATATTGAAGTCATTAATATAAGTAAATACTCCTATTGTGATGTCATTATGATAAATGATTTACAACTTTTGGTTTTTTAAAGTTACACTAAACTGTTTTACTCATTGTAGACATGGGTATGATTTAGAAATAATTATATTCATTTATTCCGATTGGCTGGATCTACTTTTTCAAAGCTATTTAAAAAAGTACCCAAAATAAATTATTTTTCGGTGAAACATATAAGTTGTTCTTTATTATTTGAAAGTTTCACGTTCATTAAAAATAGCAGGGCGTTCAAAACTTTTGGACCCCCCGTATATCAATTTTGTGAAGACTAATTATACCACATTCGGAATCCATCGAGCTGTATTTGCAAGGGATAATTTTACACAAGAATTATTTTTTGTAAAGTGCAATCGATTAAAAATATTTATTTTGTTATTGGAATGCGTACGAATGTGAAACTAATGCATATTTCTACTTTGGTTCAGTCATCAAATTCTGAAATCACGAAACGTCCATATATGCCAAAAATATCAATATTGCACTCCAGCAGCCAACCATCCTTGATAACTTGGCACATGGTACGGCATAGTCACATGACTTAAAAAAAGTCTGTGAAAATAACAATTCAGAGGTTGACAGTTTTGTCTTAATCAATTGTGTTTTGTGGGGAAATAATAGTCAAAATAACTAAAGAGATAAATATTTGTGTTAAGTACAAGCTAATACGACTTTTTGACAATGGTTTTAGTACAACTTTAAATCTATAAACAAAAGTTATTGATAAAGGTTATTATTGTATGATCTGTAAAATGGAGCCCTCTGATTGATCGGTTCTTGTGCTGTACAATATCTGTATTGCTACAGAAATTGTCCCCATTTATCATCTCCATAGCAATACAGAAAATATTGGTACGGAAGCGGGGACAATCTCAGTAGCAATTTAGAGAGTACAGAATAATTCTTAGGGGTTATCTCCTGAGTAAATGTGTTTGCCTAAGATCACATAATAAAAACGTCATTAAATGATTTGAAGTGCGATACAAGATATATTCTGTCTCGACATTGTTGCCTGAGTTACAGAAATTATCAGCAGTTCGGCATAATCGTAAATGACACAATATTGGCGAATTTCTACCATTGTATACATTCTTATTGATTTCTTAACTTAAGTAGTATTTTGACCCTATGAAAAAAGTTGATATCAATGCAAAGCTTTGACAACTGTCTATGATGTTTAATATACGTAGGATTAGTGTTAAGACAGGTACCGTTGCCATGGAAACGGGCGTTGAGCAATAGGTATCCTTAATAAGATTGAAATACGTATAGGAATGGGCATTTCCAGCCAGTGATCCAAATATATATATTTTATTAATAGCAATTGTGTGGAAATGACCAATTTTTATCAATCTTGAACAATAATGCCTAAATGATTCCATATATTAAATTTTAAAGTGTTATTGTGACATCACAATAGCGGATTTCAAATGAGAAACAGTTTGTTTTACGACATGGTCTCCGTGAAATTGATATCTTCCATAATTACAATTAGACTAAACTGTGTTATGCATTTGATTCTGGGGTATCAGTGGTTATAGACACAAAATACTGTATAAGAGCTCTGAGACTAACATCTTTTATGCTAGTCTCGGGAGAGGTGAAACAACTTTTTATCCTGATCAATGATGAATGAGTCGAAAGAAAAGCGTTTCCTCAGTACATACGGTATGTTGTCATGTATATGTCTCATATCAGACAAAGGTTTATAAATATTGAAGTCACTAATATAAGTAAATACTCCTATTGTGATGTCATTATGATAAATGATTTACAACTTTTGGTTTTTTAAAGTTACACTAAACTGTTTTACTCATTGTAGACATGGGTATGATTTAGAAATAATTATATTCATTTATTCCGATTGGCTGGATCTACTTTTTCAAAGCTATTTAAAAAAGTACCCAAAATAAATTATTTTTCGGTGAAACATATAAGTTGTTCTTTATTATTTGAAAGTTTCACGTTCATTAAAAATAGCAGGGCGTTCAAAACTTTTGGACCCCCCGTATATCAATTTTGTGAAGACTAATAATACCACATTCGGAATCCATCGAGCTGTATTTGCAAGGGATAATTTTACACAAGAATTATTTTTTGTAAAGTGCAATCGATTAAAAATATTTATTTTGTTATTGGAATGCGTACGAATGTGAAACTAATGCATATTTCTACTTTGGTTCAGTCATCAAATTCTGAAATCACGAAACGTCCATATATGCCAAAAATATCAATATTGCACTCCAGCAGCCAACCATCCTTGATAACTTGGCACATGGTACGGCATAGTCACATGACTTAAAAAAAGTCTGTGAAAATAACAATTCAGAGGTTGACAGTTTTGTCTTAATCAATTGTGTTTTGTGGGGAAATAATAGTCAAAATAACTAAAGAGATAAATATTTGTGTTAAGTACAAGCTAATACGACATTTTGACAATGGTTTTAGTACAACTTTAAATCTATAAACAAAAGTTATTGATAAAGGTTATTATTGTATGATCTGTAAAATGGAGCCTTCTGATTGATCGGTTCTTGTGCTGTACAATATCTGTATTGCTACAGAAATTGTCCCCATTTATCATCTCCATAGCAATACAGAAAATATTGGTACGGAAGCGGGGACAATCTCAGTAGCAATTTAGAGAGTACAGAATAATTCTTAGGGGTTATCTCCTGAGTAAAATGTGTTTGCCTAAGATCACATAATAAAAACGTCATTAAATGATTTGAAGTGCGATGCAAGATATATTCTGTCTCGACATTCTGTATTGGCTCTCGACTTTGTCTCGTTCCAATACAGAATTTCTCGAGCAGAATATATCCTATAATGCACTCCAAATCATTCAATAACTTATATAGTCTCGAGGAATTTTTCAATGAACAATAAACAGTTTAATATAATCAATGAACATTTTCGGAATCATTAACGGTTTTTAAGAATTAAAAAGCAATATTTCAGTTCTCGTAAATGCCCATATAGAGTAATGCTACAAACCTGAGTAAAGCTTTTCGTTGTATCATTGAACCCCGGGTTAGCATAATCATAGTCCGATATCTGATCATACCTAAAATGGTAATTGCCAACAAATGATACAGAACTATTTTAACCCCTTTAGGGTAAGTACTTATATGATATGATTCTTATACTTTGAATCGGCTATCACAATTATATAGTAACTGAATAGTAACAATATATTGGATAAAATAAATGATCAAAGTATCTAGCTATTATTGATTTCATGTATGCTTTCATAACTAAAGTTACTTAAGACAAGTTCAACAGACAACCAATCGGACCACTTAAAGGCAAATATATATTTTATACAAACTCTCTTTACCAAGCTTTTACCGCACTTGCACACTGAGCTGGAGGAGGTGGTAGTAGGCCTCTGGTTACGTAACTCAGGTACAAGTTCTCCCCACCTGTTCTGAATGCTGGGTTACTTGGGTCACTGGATCCGAATCTCTTTCTAGCTGCCACATCATCTGCCCAGGCCTGTGCTGTTGTTGCAGCTTCTGTGCTCCAAGTCATCGAAGGGGTGTCTATGTGGAGGGCTCTCACCTGATTGTGTCCTTCCAGACACGCAGTCAGAAATGGATCTGAATGTACATAGAAAAATTCCCAATACTGTTTATACAAAATGCATATTCAGTAAAAGGTAATCAGGCACACTGATTTGCATATATGCAGCATAAGGAGAAGTAACAGTCATTCTCTTTCAAAATGGCGGAGAGTAAATATCAATTTCGATATTTTTAGTTTTCATTGAATTAAATCTGGTGACTTTGCTGTGCATTTGGCTTTGACATTTCTATATACCACACCAACCTTGTAAAAGGAAATCTTCTACAAGATGATTTTGAATGATATGGTAACATTATGGGAGTTTATAATTAGTGAGGTGTTTTATATCCTAATTCAGATTCCAATACAGGCCAGTACACATGATTGCATTATGTAATTCAGGTTACTGTACTCAAAGGGTTGTAATACATATCATTTGATTGTGTTGTCCATATATATAGTAACCATTCATAAGATTGTGTGAAAGTTCTATATTATACACGCTAGATATGGAAATTTTCAATGCAGAATGACCATGCCTACGTAATTTAATTCGAGGAGAACTAAAACTATGGAAATCAGAACTTATTATCTGCCATTTTGAAAATAAAGGCAACGGCTGTTACCTTCTCCTAATACCAGTGAGTTAGTTTCATGTTTTCATATGTTTTACTACATCAATGAAAATGCAAATCTACATCATACAACTAACACCTTTAATACACACGAGTCTGAATCTAGTAGTTGGTACAAAGATAAATGAACAAAAAGTACAACTCCCAATGAAGAATATCAAGAGGTATCCACATAAACTAATCTATAATATATTTTGTAACTCCCTTTTGACCATTCCAATTTTTTCTCAGCATATTCTGATCAAGTTGCTCTATATTTCATTTTGATTGTGGTAACAGATTGTTAACATGATGGCTTGTAATTTTAAAAATTGGAAAGGGTGCAGTTCTAGGTTGTTTAAAAAGGAAGACTAATGACCTTTGATATATTTGTCAAAATGTGATAGCCAAAATTATTAAGATTAGATAGAAATTCAGAGAATGGAAAATTAAAATGATACAAGTAATGGATAGTGTATTTGGCATACCTGAAGAAGCTGTTGTTGTAGAAGGCATCGTTGTGGTAGTAGTAGAAGGCATCGTTGTTGTAGTAGTAGAAGGCATCGGTGTGGTGGTAGTAGAAGGCATCGTTGTTGTTGTAGTAGAAGGCATCGTTGTAGTAGTAGAAGGCATCGTTGTTGTAGTAGTAGAAGGCATCGTTGTTGTTGTAGTAGAAGGCATCGTTGTTGTAGTAGTAGAAGGCATCGTTGTGGTGGTAGTAGAAGGCATCGTTGTTGTTGTAGTAGAAGGCATCGTTGTAGTAGTAGAAGGCATCGTTGTGGTAGTAGTAGAAGGCATCGTTGTGGTGGTAGTAGAAGGCATCGTTGTGGTAGTAGTAGAAGGAATCGTTGTTGTTGTAGTAGAAGGCATCGTTGTGGTGGTAGTAGAAGGCATCGTTGTTGTAGTAGTAGAAGGCATCGTTGTAGTGGTAGTAGAAGGCATCGTTGTTGTTGTAGTAGAAGGCATCGTTGTTGTCGTTGTTGAATCTTGAAAGTGCACACAAAACTCTCCTCTACAACCTTTGGCTACCCACATGGTCCCTGTGCTGTAATCGAAGTCCCATTTGTCGTTTTTCGTGCATTGTGTCCTGGAATGAATAGCGAACAAAGTGTATCATCCATGTGTTGCCATCCTTCTCTCATACCCTCTCTTTCTCTCACTCGTAGTGTTTACTGTCAAATTGAGTAAGACATAATTTCAGACAATAGTTACAATAAGATCCTTGGAATAACCAATTGAGAAAGGGAGAGTAAGACCTTGCATTGGGGTTATATAACAACACACGTTCACGTATAAGTTCTCTCCAATACATCTAGCTCTCTGTTACCTGATCCTATAATACACATCTGGTCTTACCTTGACACCTGAGTCTTGAGTGTCACGTCTTGCACAGTCATCGAAGTCAAGAATGGCTTGTCGTCGAACACAGGACATGTGACGTTCCTCCATCTCTTACTTGCACAGAAAAAGCAGTATTCCCCTAGTGATGAAATAAATAAATATTTGAAATTTTTTCAACATACATATAAAGGATATCCTATGATTTTTGAGGGATATCATTTTTATCCATGAGTGGATATCGCCCGATCCCCACGAGCTAGCGCATGAGTAATTAAAATGATAGCCCAGAAAATCATAGGATATCCTATTTATGCTATGGAATGGAAGTCTTGCCAATAATTATCCTTTGGGGAATCTTCACAACATTTATATGTATATTTATTTTCACCTTGATTTCGAAATGTCAAAAATTCTTCAAGTCTGGTTTTATACAAACAAATTGCATGGACACATTTAAATCATTTCAACTAGCAAATCATACTTGGTCTTGTCAAACAAACCATTTTTACGCTAAATTCAAAACCAATGAAAAACTAGAATTCGTCGGATAAATTGGATATCATGCCATATTAGTCGGATACGGGGCATACCAAAATTATCTTGTGTTAATTTCCCTATGTATATTAGGATCGATGGGATAAGTATAAAATATGAATATATAGTGAAATTTCAATATGTAAGTCAGACATATAATTATGTTCGTTTTAACTTACATTGTTAATATGACTACACTTTTAGGGTCGAGCTCATAATTACCTTGACCACAACGATCGCCGTCTGTCCCAGGTGGACATAAGCATTTATATTTCCCGCCAAATGTGTTGATGCACACAGCGTCCTCCCCATGGCAAGGTGATGAGGAACATGCGTTCTCTACAAAAGCAAAATCAAAAAACATTTAATTGTAATTGATACTATACATAGTCTAATTTGTAAGACTATATAATCTGATCTAAGTCGGAGGTAGGAGGTTTTTAAAGGGGCAACAAGGCCTGTAGAGAGAAAATAGGAAAATTTTAACTTTTTCTGAGCTAACAAGGCAACATTGGCTTAACATCTTCTTTGACATACCTATTTTCTTAAAATATATGGATAAACTATCAATTTCAGCATTAAGAAGTGCAAATTCAGTTCAAAGCTTGAAAAAGGGGAAATCCACATTTTAAGAGGGTTTCTTTGTAGATAATAAAAATAGATGTTAGTTGTGATATAATATCCAAACTTAAATACATTTTGACACTGGTCCATGATCGTTGAATGGCCCTTCTGCACTAATTGTTGCACCTATGGAGATTTTTTCAAACGTTTTGGATTTTCCAGCACAAATATAACTTGCGATTCGTTGAGATCTGCATAACGATTTTTAAAATGATAGATATTAGGGCTATAGGTTTCTGTAAGGCTGTTATATGTAAATACATATTTGTTCTAGAGTTATATTATGGTTAATTATGTTTTATATGACTTACCATTCCCAGGCCATGTGCATTCATCAGCATTAGATACATCTGGAAATAAATGTAGTAATTGGCGAAATCTGTATTTAGTGGAAAGTTTATAGGTTTTCAAGAGACAAAATATTTCGGTTTTCTACTCTTTTAAATATCTACCTTCACTGCAGTTTTTGCCTTGTTTGTTTGGCGGACAAATGCACTGGAAGCCACCGTTCCAGGGAATGGAAAAACCAGTATTGCAAGGGGTTTCTGCAAAATGATAAATTTAGTTTTTACTATTTACACATTTCATTGCATTTTTATGTCTTAAAGTGTAATAACTCGCTCATTATTGGGATGATAGGTGTCAAATTTTCTGAGATGATCAAGAATTGATGCAAGTTTTGTTCCAAATTAGTAGTTTTTATATCTCTGCGTTTCTCAAGTCAAATCATCATGGCCATTTTAGTGAATGACGTGTGTGCCGAAGAAGCTGACAAAGTGTTAAAACAGTAACAGTATGGTATATGCTTTAACATTCTGATTTCAAGATCCCCAAGGAAAGCTTAAGGCTAACATCACACATGATGAGATCAACCAAATAACACTGGACGTGATTTAGCGAGTTATTGATAACTTCAATGTGCGTCTCTGAGCAATACTTGGCCAGTGTGGTGTATGAATGGAACATTAAATGAATAGCCCTTACTTCCCATATAATGGTGTTACGCATTTCAAAGCTATTTAACAATACTATTACGCATATTAACGCTATTTAGCAATACTATTACGTACGTCAAAGCTATATTTAGGCATTCAATTTAAAACAGTTAAATGTTTTGAATCGCGGGTGATTACAATTTATTCATTTATTTCAATCAACTTCCTTCTTATTCATAGAACATATTGTAACTGGTCGAGTTGTTGTACCTGGTGCAGCTGGTGTACTCGAGCCAGGTGTTGTTGTTATCGGTGTAGCTGTTACTGGTACAGTAATCAAACCTATGGAAAATAGAAACATAGGGATGTATCCATGGCCCAACCGGTGTATTTGACGAAACCAATTTCTAAACATGCGGTTACTAAAGTTTCATCTGAATTTTTGAAACACACTTTATTCTCCAAATTGAGGAAATTATGGTAAATTATACACAGGAGGATTATTAAGTAATCCACATTAAAGTAACTCGATCTCTTCTCCATTCTTTAATTACATTTTAAAGTATAATATTTCATTTTATAATTTAAAATACAACCTATTTATGGTTACAGTAAGCTTAGTGACTGCGTCAAAGTGCACAATTCGTATTTGCATCAATATTTACTGAGAATAGTGCCATAATTGATGATTTGCAAACCTCTGGTCTATCATTGCTTCATTATTTAACATTTGGAAAATGAGTGAATAATATTTCAATTTATAATTCGAAATACGATCTATTTCTGGTTATAGTGTTACCTGAAGCGTGTATCACCAACAAGATTACTACTGGATTTAAAACGGCCATCTTTCGAACAATCTTTCAGTTATGACTTATGAATCTGAAAAAGCAATAATGGTTGAGAGTTATAGAGTAGGTAGGCTTACAATCATCACCGTGAGAACCGAGAGTCATCATTTAATAGCATCTCATATAGTGATCTTAATGTGTTTTTTAATTACCTTTATGGAGCAAGATCATTAATTACTATTGTGTAACGATTCCCTATAAAAACTATTATGTAATAACAGGGTGATCACCAAGTTCTGAAAATTTGTCTGTCATTTATTAATTTTCAACGAATTTATTTATTTTCAAGGTGAATAGGGAATGTAATAATGAGTTGAATAAAACAGTCTAATTGTAAAATGCTGTTACAATGGATAATCATTGTAACTTTAGCAACATAAAAAATGGTGTCGCGGGTCAGACAAAATGTGAATTCATTTTTATTTTACTTGATCCAAAAGTATTGTTGATTAATACCTTTATGGTTCACATAGTTGTGTCATTTTCATGTTTTAAAATATTTCTAACTACAGTTTCTATAACATCTGTATATCAAAGTGTGCTACATGCAATTTTTTCTTATCAATCATCAGACTCTCCGAGTCAAAATCATGACTTAAAAAAGCTGGGAGCTACCTTCTAATGTGACAATGCTCATTCCCACATTTCACGCTCCCCATATCTCGAAGAATTAGGCTTCACACAACTTGCCCATGTGCCATGTTCACCAAATGAAGCACCATTAACACCCTGGGTATAGTCTGTCACGTGACTTCATGGATGACGTGTGCGCGAGTGATTCGCATTTTCTTTCGCTTGAGGTTTGTAATCACACTTTTTACATGTTTTAAGATTTTGTATCTCTGTGAAACTTGTCCCGTACCATCAATGTCTGAAGACGATCTAATTCACCAAATATCTCATCCAAGCGTGTCCCGGTTAAAGAGAAATTCGCACTTTTGTGTCTCGCAAAATGACGTGTGCGCGAGTAAATCGAATTTTACGAAGGATGGGTGCGCGAGTCTAAAATATTTTTATTCACTTGAGACAATTCTGCAAGCTAAGGCAGAATACAACTCACGTGACATTTGTTTTTGTCATCTTAAAGTAGTATGTTAAAGAATAGTTTGCTATTTTGTAGATGTTTCATGTATGGCACATACATGTCTACGTTTAATGACAATAAATGTTTTGAAATAGCTTGTAGGGCTGTCCGGCATTGCAGGTGAATTAAAATTTGAACCAAAAATTGAATTAAATTTTTGGCGGTCTCATAAAACCGGCAGCATATTCATTTATTGACATCCCATACAAGGGGGGGGGGGATCAGAGTTGTTTTGTGGTTACTCGGCATCCGCCACGATCAGAACCATGTAAGGAATAGTAAGGGGAAGCCCATGATACCAAGTAATATCAAATAATTATAGGAGCTTCTAACTTCTTCCGCATCCCCACCCTTGGTATACGCAGCTGACAAAATGGATCGGTACGGGTCAAAAGCTGGACCGGTACGGGTTAACGGTTTTATTTGAATTTAAAACAGCTATAACTTGCTCAATATTGACTTCTTCGTATCTAAGTTGAAATATATGATCCCTCCAAATGATTTTAAGTACCCCCAAAGTTCACCCGTACAGGTCCAGCTTTTGACCCATACCGGTCCATTTCGTCAGCTGCGTATACCAAGGGTGATCCCACATACTTTGTTTTTACAGACTCAGAAATCAATGTTCGCTATAAATGTAGCAATATAATATGAGCTTTCGTGTACTCAGATCCTCCATTTGTAAAAAACAATTGAAGAACAGCATAATAGAAAGTCAAATACAAAATTGATTTGCGCCCAAAATAGTTTGGGTAATGATTCCCGGCACTACCATGCATTTGTCCCCAAAGCAAGGTATTCTGATGGGTAAAATCTTGATACCTCCCCCTCCCCTACTAAAAATGATTTGAATTTGGTTTAAAA